CCATATCCAAATGTCGCATTAGTTGCTTCTTATTGACAGACACGGGTAATTCAGATAACATTGATCTTAAGATCTATAGGTTTTACTTGACCATGTCCCACAACATGCCCTATAAATTTACACAAGCAAGGCAGAAAGCGCTTTTAGATAAATTGATTATCAAATTTGCATTAATAAGACTGTCGAAGAATTTCCGAATCGTTGCAAGGTGTCATTGTAGATGCCCTTTCCTTTAGTGGAATTTGCCAAAATCCTTTCAGACGGTCAAATTTGATGAGGTACTTCGCATTTCCAATTTTATCAATACAGTCATCAATTCTTGGTAATGGAAATGAGTTTGTTTTGGTCACATTGTTCACTTACCTATAATCAACACACATACGGAAAGTTTAAATTGGTTTATCTGGTTTCGGAACAAGTACACATGGTGAACTCCAATTACATTTACTGGACTCTATGAAATCGTTCTTCAGCAAATACTGAATTTCCTTTTTCAAGTATTCCTGTTTGAGAGGGTTCATCCTGTATGGGTCTTGTTTCACATGTTTTAAATCTAAAATTTCACCGTTATAAAACACTTTGTTTGTCCATTGAGGAATATCTGGAAACAAGTGCTCATATTCATGTAATAACTGTTCAAGTTCATTCATTTCTGCTGTAAATGCAAACGTTTCTGGTCCAGATTTTTCATAATTTCTGAGTTCCGAAGATTAGTTGCTCCAAGATCATTATTGTCCGATTTAATTTCTTCACTTAAATCCTCTGTTTGTGGGACAAGTACAACTAAATTAATTGCATAATTTACTTGGTTATCTCTCTAAATATACCCATTTAACATGTTAATGTGGCAAAGTTGTTTTTGTTATCGCCTACCAGGAGCATTTTTGATATAACTTAAATCATTAACTTTCTTTTCAACCGTGTATAGAGCGCAGGTTTGCTCTTGCAACCTCACAAGCCTTTGACAACTTGTACTTAAAATCAGAAACATAATCAAGAAGATTGAGCTCAGAACCTTTAAGTTTTTCTTTCAACAACATCAATGTTCCACGCACAGTATATCCAAAAACTATTTCAAAGGAATCTTAAAGATTCTTGAAAGGACTCCCCAACAGCAAACAAAAGTAAATGAATAATATCATCTCAATCTTTACTCGTGTTAAAGCAATATGGCCGAATCAAATTCTTCTGATGAAATCTTTCTAAAGCCCCTTGGCTCTCACGGTTGTAAGCAAAAGATTTAATCTGTTGAATGCATAATTCGTACATAGCTTGCTGAAAAATTCTAGACAAAAAATTTGACCCTTGATTCGATTTGACAGATTTGGGAAAGCCAAATTGAGTAAAATACTTTATCAAAGCTTTTAAAACAGTTTTGGTTTTAATATTTCTCAAAAGAATTGCTTCTGGGAATCTTCTTGACGCACAGATAATAGTCAACAAATATTGGTTGTTTGAATGGGTCTTAGGTAACGGACCAACACAATTGACAGTAATTCTGCTACATGGTTCATCAAATGCAAGGATTTGTTTCAGATCAGCCTTAGTATCTTCTAATTGGGTTTTCCTACCATTGACAAGTATGACAAGATCTACAAAACTTACCAACATTATTTTTATTTTTTACGGCCAATAAAAGTGTGTCAAGAACTTGTGATAAGTTTTATTAATCCCTATATAACCAGTCTGAGGAGTTTCATGAGCCAAACTATTTCCTGTCTGTATGATTTTGGAACTACAATCTGATAGTTCACTGACCATTCTTCACTAGTAGGTACCTCGTAAGGTTTCCATTTTCTCATAAGAATTCCATTTTTAATGAAGCAACAGACATATACTTCAGTAGCTTCAGTTTCACTAATGGCCCTCTGAAACAAACATAAGATCTCATGATGTTTCTTCTGTTCGACGACAGGTTATTGTCGTTTGTCACACTGATTAGATAAAAGAGAATGAGTATTTAAAAGAGGATCACTGTGATCGATACCTTTTGATTGAAACAAAGTAAAGTGTTAGAGTGACCTCCTCAAAAGCCTGACTAATGCATGTGCCAGTTAAAGGAATATTTTCCTTATTGAAATCATTCTCAAAAGGTTTCTTTGCCATAGCTCTGGTAACTGAACAAGCTGGGTATAAATCAGGGTATTCTTTTTCAATAGGATCAACTTTCTGATGCAAAGTAGTCTTGTCAGTTACAAGTGGATTAACCACAACCTCCAGCTAGGTCATTGCCTAGCAACAACTGAATGCCCTCAACAGGTAGTTTATACCGTCTGTAAGAGGTCCTGAAACTAAGTCTGATGACAAATTTACAGATTGGAGAGGAAATTTCAACAAAACCACGCTCTACTCCCTGAATGAGAACACTCTCAATAGAACAGGACTTCTCAGAAAAAGGCAAAGTACCTAATAATAAAAGACTCTTAGAAGCACCTGCCTTCTGGACTGGCAAAACAATGCAAGGCACAGTACAATGGTGCAGAAGAAATTTCAAAAAGAAAAAGAGATGGGAAGACAACATTAAGGAGTGACAGGCATGGGATTTGGAGATTCCCAAAAGGCAGTACAGAACACGGAAATCTGGAGATAATTGGTTATAAAATGTCAGTTGTGGTGCCCCCAGCGATCTCTTAGGTTTATGGATTGATAAAGATGATGAGTTGTCAAGTACCGTCAGAATTCTAGGACTATATTGGTAGATATTGCAACAGGATCACATTGCCTTTGGTTACGAAATCACATCCATTTTTATATATAAGTCCAATGTTTCCTGATCAAGCAACGACAGTTTTAGGATAATGCTGTGACGGGTTGCATGGGTGATATCGACCTCACTAGGAACCAGAAAATTTACAGCACATGAGCATGTTCTCTAGGCCTGATTGATGTCTTTGAGGTTTTGGCCTAATACATCCCAAAAAAAAACATACTCGGAAACTTTCTTTCGAGTACCTTAAAATTGCCCATATTAACGAATCAATTCAAGGCGAATGATAAACGGCGTCTATGCATAAATTCATAATAAGCTATAGAAAGCAGGCGGAATGCATGCGTAGTCTAGAACAGGCACGAGTCGGTACGAGTCAACGAGGAGCTAAGGTGACAACTGCTACCATTGCAAATATCATCATTGGAGCTTGTCCCATATTTATGGATTACATTTGGGTACAACCGTGCTAATACAGTTAATGGGTCCACAAGTAAATCTGCAATTGAAGGACCAATATTGTCATCTGCTTCAGAGAAAGTCGCCAGATCGGAAAGAAACTTGGGCTGACCTGAAGTGGCTAAGCTTGATGGATAAATTTATTGCTGGTTTTGAAGAGAAGGATTTCAATCTTATCAAAGCAGAACTATCTGCTGCAGGTGGCGACTCAGTCTGCAATTGCAATACATGCGTGCTCGGACTGACTACATCTGAGACACCGGTAAATGTGCTCAAAATGACAACACCAATATCAGAATCCAACGAAAATTGGTTTGGCGATTCAATAAATTAATATCATTGTGCAGGTCGCATTATACGTCAGAAATATCAGAGTAGCATCGAACTACAAAACCACTTGCCCACAATCAAGAAGCTTAACAGTTGTGGGAGCTGAGAGTATTCTTTGCTAAGTTTGTAATAGATGTGACTAACTCGCAACTAGTCTTTGCCAGTTTCTGCATAATTATATGATATTTCTGCAACTGTTGTTGGACAGCATAGTTAAAGTGCACTTCACGTGTAAAATTGGTAGTTGTTGACATCGAAGACGTTTGAGTGTGCCATGTTGCTGTTGAGGTGTCTCGAGAAACCACGCGATACGCAGAGGCAATTATCGTGATACTTACATTTGTATACAATGAGCCGAAGTCACTGGCGGTCCAATGATGATCTTATTTTCAGGTGGAATTATTTTTTTATACGTCCACTGCTTTACTTGAGGAAATTAACATTTAAAATTGCATTATATAACCTTACCTACGAACAAAGGTAAATCTTAATCACAGGTTAGAGTGATTAACCTCAAGTCATCCATTCACGGATTTGATACCAAAAGTTCGGGATTTCAAGTTTATTCCAAAGAAAAGTATTATTTGCAAAGAAAACGGGGGTTCATCGACAATAAATAGCAGAATAAAATCGCACAAGTGCTCAAAACAATTATACACTCAGGTGGACTCATACATGGACCAATCACGTGACTTTACATCATCTCCTGTGGCCCCGAAGATATTCAGAGGCAGTAGAATTCAAAGTGAACACTAGGATAATGCCACAAGATCCTAAAGAAATTAATTAAAGTACAAACTTTTTCTCTCCCATACATAAGAAACTACTGAAGGTGTTGCTACACTAACTTTGTCCTTCATTTTTCTAAGTGTTCGATTGAATCCACTGCGTTTTTTATAAGTTCAGATAAACCAATACTATTTCTTTTTGCTAGGTACTAACCTGAACTGAACATGTACAACAATCAGCACATGTTTTGTAGCATTTTCAAATAATTCTCGGTAAACATTATATTTTCTGTTTAGGCTTTTACGCCGATTTCTGCTGAGTGCAAGTAACAGTCTTCGCTGGTCAGCATGTCCCCGGGAAAGTCAGAGGCCAAAATATTAATGTTTTTGTTAGAGGCTACAAAAGAATGTAACAACAGCAGATTGCAATACCGGTTGAGTACAATGCAACTGATGCACTTTCATGCCGTAGGCTCTGTCGATTCCGGCTCACTAACAGCAGGAATCTAATTTTATGCGAATCATTAGATTAACTTCACTGATCCAAGGGTTGTATATATTGCCAATATATACTTATTACACTAATTATAGACTACAAAATATGATTAATAACAGACGTCATTATGCTTCATGTTTAATTACTGTTGTCAATAATTGTTCAATAAGATAAGAAGGATAGTAATGTGATTTAAAGAAAACATTGCTGTATTTTTATATTCCTGACATTCTTTGTTATGTCATATCGTTATGATACTATTAAATTTAAATGCACTAGCGACCGCACAGTGGCTCAAGTGGTTTGAGCGTTAGGCTCGGATGCAGGAGGTCGCCGGTTCGAACCCCGTCCGAGTCGTACCCAAGACTTATAACAATGGTACTAGCATCTGCCTCACTAAGCGCTCAGCATTAAGAGGCTAGTGTTAGGACTAATCGGCCTAGTGTCGGGATAATGTGACTGGGTAGGACATTATGCTACATGTCTGCGGCATAAGGCCCCAGTGCCAGGCAACACAATAAAATGCCATGCATACATCGTAACGATATGACTTAAAAATGGTTAAAGCAGCGTTTAAAATCCAAATCACACACACACACACACACACACATACACACACACACACACTGAATGTACTTGCAAGTAATTTAATCATCGCATCGTGATATTAAGTGTCCAGATTTTTTAAAAATTGCTATTAGCTTATAGAGGGAACCTTCAGTGGAAATTGTCCTCATTCTCCATGCACAATATCGTTATTACTCATAATAAATTAGCTATTTCAAATTACTAAAATTAACCTGATATATTATTTCTGCTAATTATTTCCGAATGTATTTTATCGACTTGAATTATCTTGTTCCAGAGAGAACTATGAAATCTTTAATAATGTTACGCATTTTCAAAGTCAATGTTGAACTTTAATAAAATTTTTTATTATTCTTCTCAGGTATGTAAATGCTTTCTAAAGGGTGACAACATAACTTAGTGAATATATGACCTTTCAGTTTGTTTTTCCTCCCAAAAATGCTCCAAAATGCATTCAATATGTTGATTATTCTATGAAATAGTTCACAAGAGATTTTCACTATCTTAAACCGACTTAGCCTACGACAGACTACTATCAACTCAATGACAGTCTTTGACCAAGAACGAAACTGTAGCAAGGAAATTTATCTCTGAAAGAGTATGATGAGTTTATAGAACCTGGGTTCAATTCCCAGAAATTGTTAAGCAGAGATAAACTTAGAAAAAAAGTTGAGCTTATTTCTGATTTTTGTTCAAGGAACAATAGTGAGACTATACGTATATTTTGAGAAAATAAATACTCATTAGGTTTACTTTTCATTCATATCATTACATTATTTGAATGATTTCAATATGTTTTGATAATAGAAAGGGGGGCATTTTCAGGTGACTCGTCGCAAGCCTTGAATTAGAATATGCTTCATTTTGTCAACGAATAATGGGTTTGTTGCTAAATTATTCTGATGTAGCATCGTTGGATAACGACGTGAATGCAGTGGATGACGACGTGAATTCAGTAGATGACGACGTGAATGCAGTGGATGACGACGTGAATGCAGTGGATGAAGACGTGAATGCAGTGGATGAATGAAGACGTGAATGCAGTGGATGACGACGTGAATTCAGTGGATGAATGAAGACGTGAATGCAGTCGATGAATGAAGACGTGAATGCAGTGGATGACGACGTGAATTCAGTGGATGAAGTCGTGAATTCAGTAGATGAAGACGTGAATGCAGTGGATGAAGACGTGAATGCAGTGGATGAAGACGTGAATGCAGTGGATGAAGACGTGAATGCAGTGGATGAATGAAGACGTGAATGCAGTGTTGGAGATACTTGTTTTGTTCGATGATATACTTCTTCTTGTAAGGAACTTTTTCTAACGTATTTGTACCAAATATGTTACACAAGTATGTCATACACTCTGTAAGGTGGTTAACATCAAAATCTCTGTTCACCTTCATTCGCAGTGATGACTTGGTAGAAAGTTGCATTTTTTTTATAATCTCCAAATGGGGATTAACATCAGAAAGTACGAGTGAAATCTAGCACATTTTAAAATCGCTCTTGACATATCATCCTACGTGCTAAAGACTTAATTTTAAGACTGTTTTGTATGTTTTACATCTACTCTCTGTTATTCTTCTAACTTCCGTTTATTAAGATTCATTATCCCGGCGTGTGGTTAATCCCTCGTGTTGTATCCAGATGCCTCGCTTTGGCAGCCGGTCCCCATCACTTTAATTCACACTGATTTGTTTGAGGCCAAAACCATGTTTCTTTATTTATTACCATGCAGAGCAGTACAGCTCGCCTTTCCCAAAAATCTAAGTTGCAAAGAGAGCCACATCTTATATCCATAATATATATATATATATATATATATATATATATATATATATATATATATATATATATATATATATATATATATATATATATATATATATATATATATATATACACATATATATATACACACATATATATATATACACACATATATATATATACACACATATATATATATATATATATATATATATTTATATATATATATATATATGTATATGTGTGTATGTGTGTATGTATCTATATATATATATATATATATATATATATATATATATATATATATATATATATATATATATAATTAGTTGACCATTGCCTCTTAAGTATTGAATTGTAGTAATATTGATAATTGTTTTCATCAAAAGATTTGAACGTAATGGGATAACTACTATTTCATTATTATTTATGAAACATTTGAAACAATCTCCATTAATGAATGATTTTTTGTTTATCGTTTTACTTTATCAAAAAAGTAGTTGCGCTGCAAGATTAATGCAAGAGATAAACCTGCGGAATATTAAATTACAATAATCACTGCGTGTTTTTAGTACATATTCTACATAAATAATTTGCCTAAAGGATATTCCTTTTTTGTAATATAGCACAATTTTCAAAGAAACCAGTACCCAGCGTGTGTGTGTCTGTCTGTCTGTCTGTATGTATGTATGTATGTATGTATGTATGTATGTATGTATGTATGTATGTATGTATGTATGTATGTATGTATGTATGTATGTATGTATGTATGTATATCGGTTAGATGAATATACAAACCAAGAAAATGAGATAATTAAAAACAGAAGTATATAGGTCTGTTCTGATTCCTTACACACACAAGCGGTTTAATCATGGAGAACCAGAAATAAGTTATTTATCAAAGGATTGTGTTACTACCCTATAGTTAAATTACATGTCTGTTAAGATTTGAATTTTTCTATTTTATTTTTATTTATTTCATTTTTATATCAATACATATAAATATTGCTATGGTGATGACTATGTTAGAAACATCGTATTTATTTAAAACGTAATGTGACTCATGTAAGCACGACTTTTGTATGACAGTTTTCATTGCAAGTAAACGGTCTGGAAAAGCTATTGCTTGTTTACGCGTTTGCAATATCCTAGCATGATTTCGATATAGCACGTGTCCTTCGTGCATGTGTAGATGAAATGACGTATTATTTTGTTTTAAATGCTCGGTTACCTGTAAGAAAAATTCAGATCAAGCAAACGAACATGCATATACGACTGTAATTGCTATCATCATCAAGAAGAATTCAGTCTTACTTCAGGTTCATCGATACCATAAGCACTTCAAGAATTACGGTAGAACTGATCAAACTTCACTACATTACTGCTGCTACGCCCTGGAGCCCTATTCAAACCAAAAACGCTTATAAACCATCCCCTATAAGGGCTATGGGGCAACCTACTTCAGGTTCATCGATACCATAAGCACTTCAAGAATTACGGTAGAACTGATCAAGCGTCATTACATTACTGCTGCTACGCCCTGAAGCCCTATTCAAACCAAAAACCCTTATAAACCATCCCCTATAAGGGCACTGGGGCAACCTACTTCAGGTTCATCGATACCATAAGCACTTCAAGAATTACGGTGGAACTGATCAAACTTCACTACATTACTGCTGCTACGCCCTGGAGCCATATTCAAATCGAAAAACCTTATAAACCATCCCCTATAAGGGCTCTGGGGCAACCTATCACAGTAGCATCGATGCCATATACACTCCAAGAGCTGTGATGGGACAGATCAACCGTCACTACCTTGTAGCTGCTACGCCCTGGAGCCCTATTCAAACCAAAAACCCTTATAAACCATCCCCTTTAGGGCTCTGGGGCAACCTTCTACCAACTTTATATTTCTTTGTTATGTATTGTTCAATTGTTTGTTATATGTGGCCATTCCAACAGGTACTAGGGAAAATATACTAGCAAACACCTGGGTGTATCCGGAGCTCTGCAAGCACGTGCGGATCAACGATTTACTACCATGGCTTAACCTGTATTGTTTCTTTGTTTGTGTTATGTGACAATTGTTTCCGCAAACAGGCGCTAGGGAAAATATTCTAGCATAGTCCTGGGTGGGACTCTGAGCTCTGCAAGCCTATGTAGAGTAAAGATCTCCTGCCGTGGTATTTTTTTTGTTAATGTTCGTTTGTCTTGTCTTGTTTCTATGTTTGTTTGTTTTGTTTTTTTTTTGTTTGTTTTTTTTTTTTCAGGCCTTGCTTGGGGTGGTGGCTCTCTTTGTGCTCTTCTGCGTGCTACTGGCTTTGGTGATGTTCTTCCTGTGCGAATCGTCGTGTGAATGTCAAGGTCTTAAGGTCTGATCAGTAGTGATAAGGTCCAGCCCTGGACCGTGTGCCTCTCTGTGGACCCGGGCTGACGGCCAACCACATGGGAGGTTTTAATTTGGAGTCCCACCCTTCAAGTGGGATCTCTAGTCCCTTTCGTAGCTTTAGCATAAAAATCGTCAGGCAAACGCCCATGCATATACGACTATAATTTCCAAAACAACAACAGAAGAATTCAGTCACAGTCGTAGTAGTCGTGCTCATAGTTGAGAGTCACTAACATCTTAGAGACTTTTAATACCTTGAAAGGCATTTTTGTGCTGAAAAGAGTTGGGTTTTTTTTCGTGCGAATGGAACAACGTGTGTATGGTTAGTGCCGGTAGGTGTATTTTATCTACTTTCTAAATAATTATTTTCCGTGGAGAACAACTCTCTTGGCTTTGGGCTAAGACATTTTCTGAAATTACTTCTAAGTTGGAACAGAACAATACAAATTGTACTTCACAGTAAACATTTTGGATTTTTGTGTTAGCCTTCGACTGACGTCATCATCCGCCATCTTAAACCGGAACTGAGGTTCAGACTGTATAAATTTAGATCTGTTTATTCAGAGAACTTGTGTGTTTTCACATCTTTAGAACAGATTTTTGGACCTTCTTCGTAAATCATAAGTCTTGTTTCATATATTTACCTTTTCTGAGTGTTTTCTAGGGAAATAAATTATTTTTGTTTAAATTTACAAAGCTTGTTGTCTTACTCATTCTTTGTGTTACTTTGAAAGAGCTGATACGTAACTATTGATAAAAATAAAATTTGCAAAACAATTACATTCTACAGCTAACTTAATTCCTGATGATTTGTTTTATAAGCGCCAACACTATATGATGTTGGATAATACAAGGCGCAACTTTTGTGCGGTATTAATATATACATGCAACATTATTAGCACTAGTCATTTGATTATATCGTTAGTAAGGAAGCTATGATGCCTTATTTTAAAATTTTCTTTAACATTTAATTCACGATTCACATTAATCGGCATGACACGCAAATGTTAATAGTATACAACATTGTATCATGAAAAGAAAACATCTGATATGTTGTAAAACTATGCATTTAAACAAAATAATCTAAACCAAATTACATTCTTATTTAAATTGTGTTGAATGGTTTTATACTATAGGATTAAATAAAACTAAGAAAACTTATAAGATTACGGCCAACAGCGCTGCCTGAATAGAGTTTGTATCTGATCTTGAACGGTGAGAAACTTTTATTCATAGTTTAATATGTTATAACGCACAACTATATATAATATTTTACTATGCATTTTATAAAGATCTTGTCTTGAATTATCACCTGTCGCCACTCTTTTATCACTTTTCTCGCCCAGGTGGTGATGTCACTTTTGGAACTACTTTCTTTACCCAAATAGAAAACATATTTGCCCTTAAATAAGTTATTCGGATCTGTATTTCCATATTTAGGACTATCTCATTTTTTCCTTTCCTTTTCTTTTCTTTCTTTCCTTGTCTTTTCTTTTTTCGGTTCTTAAACCCCTCAGCTCTCCGTCTCTCAAGATGAACATCCAGACTGATTAAAATTAGATCTCAAGACCCAAAAAATAGAAGTTATTAGTTTCTAACACATGAGATGAACTAATCATGTATGTGTTCGTGCACTTTTAGATAATTTGTAAACAATGGTTTAAATATAGTCATGTTCTGTACTTCCTAATATTCGTTATTATTTGTATATCTATTTGAAATCATTGTTTTACAGGATCCGATAATTTATTAAGTTTGCAAAGCATTTCTTTGCTATGACCCTTCATTCACCAAGAAATTGATTTACAAACTAAATATGTTATGAATCCTGTTAAATGCCTTATGAGTGTTTATTCGGTATGTAGCTGATGTTCAAGCTTCATGTCTTTACGAATTCACTAAAATATGAATGACGTCATTAGACGAATAGATCAACCAATGGAGACCCTGCAAAAAGAGAATAGTTAAATACAATTGGTGGTGGTGTGAGCTGCCTTCTTAAAAATTATCTTTATTGTGAATACTCCTGTCTTCCTGGGTACGAAGATTAGATAAAAATGACTCTAAAACTCATATAGTTATTTTGATGATGATCTATCGACTTATAAAGTCATAATAAGTATAAGCAGGAAATTACGGACGCCTTTATGTAATTTAAGCCATACCACTGAACAATACTAATATGATTATAGCACCAGAAGACTGGATTTTCATATTATTTCAGTGTTCGTTAGGCCCTTGGATTTCTGGTTTGTAACGGACATGAAATTTATACAAGACGTACCCCACGGAATATGGTGAATTTACAGTTTATATGCCTATACGGCTGTCGTAAAGAATTAGCCTCAACCCCACCCCATTCCACCTCATCCACCCGGCGTTATGAATGGAGCACAAATGCGCAGATACTTCTATCGAAACGTTTTATGATTTAATTAAATCGGTTGAGAAAAGCATATAATTTTTCATTAAACACGCATGAACCGTTATGATCGCAAAGTCCCTGTCTTTTCTTCGAATTACAATGCAGCAAGTACAAGGTACACTCCAAATTCTAGTCGACCATTGCCTCTTAGATCTGCTATAACCTCAAGGCGTTGGCCTCAAAATGAATATGTAAACATTCGTCCTGATAAACAAAACTGAATAATCTTTTCTGCCCAAATCTTGCACGGTGGTCGTGGCAGCTATTTCAATCATTTCGCATGGCAGAAAACAGACTCGGAGCCGCCCGTTAAAACTGACCGCAATTCCACCGCTCAGAGAAGCTAGTTGATTTTATCAGTGAATATGATCTCAAATATTGATAGAAACTTGAACCTTTTTGTAACAGGCTGTACACATGTATATATATATATATATATATATATATATATATATATATATATATATATATATATATATATATATATATATATATATATATATATTAAAAGATTTTTGGTCAGGTTTGCTTCCATATAAATCAAACGTGTAGTCTGATCTACGTATATACTACAGTACTGTTTAAGGGAACAGCTTCAGTTGCTCACGTCGTAAAAACGGATTCTTATTTAAAGACAATTACACGAGAATGTCTTTCTAAATAATAAAGCAACCAGTGGGCTATAACATTCTTTTTCACACGTACAGGATGTCCAGGTCATTCTAAATTTGGGTCGTCCTGATATTAAAACTATCGTATGACCACCTGGGGCAGCATTTTATTGCACGGGTAATGTTCATGGGCTGACCTGGGCCGCCTTAACCATTTCACACTGGATCAAATATACTTTATCCTAGGAATGCCTATCAATCAAACGTTAAGCGATGCTAATCTGTGCTTTCACAGATGTAAACTGATGCTGGCAACACCGTATCTATTGTCATTTATTTGTTATTATTGTATGTCACATTTACTTCGTCGAAGATGATATGCGAACACTAGAGCTCAAGATAAATGCTGACACATATAGAAGTGTGTGTGTGTTTGTGTGTGTGTGTGTGTGTGTGTGTGTGTGTGTGTGATTTGTAACGTAGCTTTTTCAGTCATATCGCTATGATGTCTGCAGTGTGACAGTTTATAGTGATGTTTAGCACTGGGGCATCATGCCGCAGACATGTAGCATCATGCCCACCCAGTCACATTATCCTGACACCAGGCCACCCAGTCCTAACACTAACCTCTTAATACTGAGCGCCAAGCGAGGTAGCTGTTAGCATCATCTTTTAAAGTCTTTGGTATGACTCGGTTGGGGTTTAAACCTGCGACCTGCTGCATCATAGGCAGACGCTCTAACCACTGAGCCATCAGAGCTGTTCGAATATAGAAGTGCCGAGTCCATAGGGAATTGTATGTTCTACAAAGGAAAATGTCTATTGGATCGCACTTTCAGTTGTATAAATTAAGGCGCTCTATATTAATGGGAAAGGTTCGTATGTGAACTTTTTTAAATAATGCTACTGAAAAATTCTTTTTCTTTAAACTTATATGGGACCTTTCACGAAAAATGGGTGACGGAGAACACGTGTAAAACAATAAAATGATGATTTGTTTGTCTGTGCAGCCTTAATGTTTAGATATGAGAAACTGTTTTAAAAATGTAAGAATTTTTTCAATACAGATAAATTATTCTTCATTCATATAGTTCAAGGCAACTTAACAGTTTCGTCATGCCTGACAGGAATGTAAATCCTTGTGATACTGAGAGTGCATATGGCATTTTTGTATTTTTATTTTCCCTCGTCTTTCTTTTCTCGTTATAGGCAGAGTAAATAATCTTCCACACTGGAACGGAGCTATTTTGAAATTTAATTCGTTTGTCACGGACTTGTGTGCACAAACTTGGAAATAGTTTATATTTTAATGTAACTATAGCATGTGTCATGGGCGCCCATACAAATGTCAATGTTAGCACTTGCCCCCTCCCCCAGCGCTCTGGATTTCCCATCTAAACATGTTTCGGCCTATATCCATAACACTTAATATCTGATCCTTACCTCCCGAAAATAATTCTGCGGGCACACGTGTCATCTTGGTATGCGTATTAGTACTGTCGGACAATTGTGACATGGTTAGTTCTACTTACATAGTCTTCTTGACTATGGCACCTGCAAAGAACTCTCGGTGGGAGCTCACTTACTTGTTTACCGTTCGTGGAACCCTTCACGCACCGGTATGTAGAGAACAAACCTTTACTTGATGCCTTGTTAGGATGCTGTCCTCTTCATCTCTCCATAATTTTCTTTCTATCGTCTGTGTTTGATAGAACAGTTTATAATAATAATAATAATAATAATAATAATAATAATAATAATAATAATAATAATAATAATAATAATAATAATAATATAATAAAAATAATAATAAATAATGAGGACTTTGCATAACACCTAATCTTTAGAAGCTCTAAGCGCTTTACAACATTAGGCAAATTTATATAATGATATGATTACAAAAAAAACCAAACACCATTACAGAAAACATGCTGTAAATAGATAAGGAAAGGAAACATTATTAGGTCTTTAGGTCTCTTCTTGCAGTCGAAATAGGAGAGTTTCAAGAGAGCCCTTGAATGAGATCACTGTGTCTTTGTGTCTAATTTTAGTGAGCAATTTGTTCTTGATTTTTTTGAAAAAAATCTGTACCTGATGTTTCATTATGTCCAGCAAATCGCACGCAAGTCAGTTATAGTCTGTTTCTGGTTACAGTTAATTCTTTCATACCAACCGACAAACCGGGAGAATTATTTATGTTGTATATAGGAAATAATGAGAAGAGGTCTATCTTTTTATTATTCCCGTATGTTTTGTTGCAAACTGCTTCTTGCATGAAGTTCCATGTAATCGTTCTTAACGTACAAAATTTCAATGATTAATCAAGTCCTTCTTGATTCCGCATACATAACATGTGTAGATGCGCTTTTGTATCAAGACACGCTAGAAGGGTGTGACCATTCTTTTTGTTGCGCAATATTACAGTGCAATCTGGCAACTTAATGCTTGTTTACATAAGAGACTTGGAAGCATGACGTTGTATCCGTTATTGAACATCGTATTTGTATAAATTCAATCTCTTTTGTTGTGAACAGGACAGTTTCATAAATTCATGTATCTTATCAAGATGACACTGACGTCGCTGAATGGTTTGGTTTCTGCGACTACGCGAGTGTCTGCTGAGGTCAATTTGTGCTCTAAACAGGCTGTGGCACACCGGACAGTAGACACTGCTTGGGGTTGCTTGCTTAACAGAGGATATGCAATAGTTCTGAATGTAAGATACAAGCGCTTTGAGCGTTTCTTCTAACCATCCTAAGATAGTTTTTCCTCCTTCATGTCACCTATGATCTTTAGTGCTGGCTCTTCTGACATTCTGATAAAATGGACTGCCCATTTCCTCTCTGATTTCATAAACAGAGTGTGGAATCCCCGCCCGTATTAGAACCCCGGTGTCTGGAACAAAGTCCTGCTATCGTATCCTTATATGTTTCTGCAGGCAGTCCACGTAAATATGGTTTAGTTTCTTGGCATGGCGCCAATACACCATCCAGGTTTCACATACACACAGCAGCGTCGAAACATAATAGCTTTGAATGTCATCAGGTTTTTTTTATTGAGGACGGATTTATCTCAGTTTCCAAACATTTATGCGCAGTTTTCCAAAGGCCACGCTTGCTTTAGCAATTATCGTGATGGTCTCGCCATCTATGTGGACTGAACTTGACATTGTAATGTTGAGATAGGTGAAATTGTCCAATGCCAGTTTGACCATTCACTGTGATGGTATAGCTCTAGGCAAAGCCTTCCAGTTTGAGGTTGGTGCATCATCCTTGTCTTCTTGATTATGATTGTCACAAGCTGAAAAGATATGGCACAGTCTCCGTTGCATGTCAGAATCAAATGTGGCATTCAGATAACAGTCGTCAGCAAATAGGAGACCACGCACAATCCTTTGCTGTAACTTCGTTGAATCCGAAAAAAGAACTTGCCATCAATCCGGTATCCCATGTCTATTATAATCACGGATAGCATATCAGCAGAAAACATCATAATGAAGAGGGGTGGAGTCAACACATGTACTTGTTTGGCTCAGCGTTGTTTACGAAGTCAGCGATGGAATTGCGAAACCATTGAGACGACGTTTCTGGGCAACCACATTTTTGCATCAAGAGGTTCACACGACTGACAGTGTCAAAGGCTTTGTCAGTATAGCAAACCAATTTTTAGGTCGATATCTGTTTTGTTATTGTTAATCTCTGCAGGTAATATTTATCTAGACAAATGTACGATTAACTAGATTTATGGGGAATGGCCACGTTTAAAAAGCCATAATGTACAGATTGGTTCAGCCAAAGTCAGGAGTTATCGATATATAATCAAGGGCTTAGCTTGTTTAAACTTACCGGAAGAGAGTTAAACTCCTGGCTTGTATGGAATTTGACAGTTGAAATTGACCAGAAAACAGCTGGTAGCGTTTTGTTCAGACGTATTGCACTGTTTCTATGTTAGTGAGGCGGGAATTTTATGTGCACCCCGATTAGTTACGCTGTAGAAGGGAAGGGGAGCGTGGTTTCGCACAAAAAATATCTGCTTAAATGTGCAGTAGTGGAAATACAACTCAGTCTGCAGTTTTCTACAAGAGAAAAGAACATAAGATTTGAGGGTTCCGAGAAATTGAATTAGTAAATTTGTCGTAAAAAAGCGTCCAAAGGAAAAACGATTGCCTGAAGGATTTGACAGACATCAAAAGCTTGAAACACAAGATATCTGCATAAATCTCATGTAAGTCGTTGATACTCTGATGGTTTGTTTGATTTAATTGCTTGTATTTGCATGTATTTGCAAGGATTTATTTGTTTAAGTTGTAGATCAAATTTCTTGATATGTTTGGTATACTTGTATTCAGTTGTTTTTCTGAATCTACACAATTATATATATATATATATATATATATATATATATATATATATATATATATATATATATATATATATATATATATATATATATATATACTGACGGCTCGCTAAGTTATGGTCCCGATTATTGTAGGAAATTATGTATCCAAATTTTCATGCTTATTTATTATAGGAAATTATCTATCTATAATAACGGTTTTGAGCTCATGTGTCTGAATTCGTACAATGATATTGTTTGCTAAAGTACATTGACGAATTGATGGAATGTAGATATTACGGGAAGACGTGAAAATTATCCGAACGAATTTATTATTTGTATTGGTTATAATAACATCAGTTAAAGATTTTCATTCATTCTCGTGTAATAAGATTAGTAAGGAAGTATTGTCTATGTGTGATGTAAATGGCCATTAGCAGACCATTAGTCTGTGGAACTAGGTTATATGTTCTGTTATGACCAATTAGTCTAGATAGCCATCGATGTATGTTTGAATCCGATAGAACTATATCTGACCTCGTGGGGGTGAGACTAATAATTTATTCCCGTTTAATGTAACGGAAGATTTAGGGTTGATTTTTGTTCATATTTTTACAGGATGAGATAGTTTCGGCAAGAGACGTTTTACAACTTAAACAGAGTTGAAAGCCAAAGAAGAAAAAAAGGCGAGATACCAGGAATTTTGGAAAATGGAAAGTCGAGCGAAAAGGACTTACCGGTGCGAAGGAGCCCGAAGTACGGTCTGTGTGAACCGTTTCGATAAAACCGAACACCAGGTTATGAATCAATACAAGGCAGTGTCATTCGATCTTTCACTGGGTTAAATGATAACTTGATTCTATCGCAACAGAATCGGCTATTATATCAACTAATTTGCAGTTTGAAATTCCTTTATTAAGTTGATTCCAAAAGAAAGAAGCGGTTCTTTCGAATTGTAACGTTATATCATTTGCTTGAGAAATTTTATTGTCTTGATATTTGATTAAATTTTGTCTTTATTTTTAACGGGGGCTCGTGTTATTCTGTTCTATAAATTGGCTCAGATTATTTAATTTTTCCACCTATAAGTCATACTCTGCATTAACCTTACTCGAGACCGAGCAAATTACACTGATGGTGATCACCTCTAGATAGGAAAGCCAAAACCAGTTAAACCCTCCACAAATAAATTGAGGAGGGGTTTACCACAGTCCAGTTAGGTCGATGAAAGTCGCATTAAGCTTGGACTTTTGTTCTTCACATTACACCAAGAGTTGCCGAGTTTCAATCACCACATCCGTAGCCACGCGTCCTTGAATGAAGCCACCCTGACTTTTATAGGCAGGAACCCTTAATTTTCTCCGCTATTGACAGCAAGGAGATGTCCCAATGTTTATTGCGGGATCGTTTGCTGCCTTTCCA